ATTTAGGGTAGAGCACGGGTCAGGGTCAACTCGCAGGGTTTCAGGGTAGGGTCGGTCAGGGTCAGGGTCAGGGTACACCGATTTCTGAACCCGGCCAAACCCGGACCCTTTCAGGGTCAACCCGGAGGGTCTAATAAGCTGTTGTGATGGGACAATTCCCTATCTAAACATGATTTTTGTGAGTTTTTAACAGATAAAAAAAAATCATATGTCACTCAAGTCACTCATGTGACATGTGAGATAGGAGTAAGTCAGATTAAATATGCTCAAAATCTTGAGGAAAAGGTTACATATGCTATATGTAAGCCAATATCATATAGCAAAATGTATATTATGTCAAAATTATTGTCCCAAATACATCTTCTGCTTCCATGTCTGCAACCCGTGGGTCAACCCGGACCCGGTTGGACCCGTACCCGGAAGGGTCAGGGTTAGTCAGGGTCAGGGTCAGGGTCAGCCTTCTGAGACCCGGACCCGGACCCGTGCTCCACCCTAGCCATATTTGACGACAAGCCGCAACATTAGTCTTATGCGGGCTTGTCTGCTGTAGCCAACAGGCAAGATGGTGTGCGCAGAGTCGGTGCAGGGTTTAGGCCCGACAGACACAAGGCCGGCCGCAGCACTGGTGCCATTTTCGGCTCCCTTCTCAAGTATAAGCATAGAGACAGAAATACTAGAGTAAAAACGCACCGCTGACGCTCGAAATGTCTTTTCCGAGTCTTTTCGAAGTCGCAGAGTTGCTCCCATTCTGCGCGCAAATGCTGCTGTGGCGTTCTCCCAGCCAAAATGAAAAGTTTCGACCTGGCACAGTCCCAGCGTGTACCCGTGCATCCTTTGCATGCCGCGGGTGCTGAAAAAAAAAGGCAGAGGATGGTGGTTGAACTTGTAGCACTTGTAATGCCGCCAAATAGTTGGTGGTAACTGAGAAGAATGATAGTGTCAGTACTGAGCAAGGCCAGCCAGCTTGAACGCACCATTATAGCGGGTCTGGCTACCCGTTATCGGCCTCCAAAGCCCCAGCGTATCGTGTTCTGCCGCGGCCTTCTGTCCCGCTCGACCCTTCTGTTCCTCCTCCGATCCGCCCTTGGGCCATGTCATCGACATTCTCCCTTCGTCTTAAGCTCTATCGAGTCGCTGGGTGTCTTGTGCCGGCTGGGAAAAAAGTGGCGGGGTGCAAAGCGGGTGGCAGACCAGTTGACGACATGAAGGACAAGAAGAAGGAGTGATTGCCTTTTCTGCTCGAGGGCGAAGCATCATTTCCAATGACCGCTTTCTCTTATGCTGATTTATACAGTTATCTCTTTTCCTCCCAAGAGCGCAGACGTCGACACCGTGTCTTGCTTGGAGTGGGAACACGACAATGGTATTGTAGGTATTTTGTACGTGTCGAGGACTGGGAAATAATATGTAACTTGAAGTTGCTCGAGAAAATCAATCCGAGATAAGTACTGCAATGTAGGTATTCGTAGGGAAGTATCGCGCGGGGAATGACAGAAACCGAAAGTATATGTGCCATGCAAACAAATTCATGTCAACTCAGACAAAAAGCCCCAAAACCGACATCCTAGATCGGCCCCATCATCATTCCTCGTATTGCAGCCCATACGCCATCTCCCTCAACTCCACGCTGATCTCACAGACAAACGTTAGCATTTGTCATCCGAGATAGGACACCACAGTGTTGTTGCGAAGGTGGCTCTCTGGCTAATACCCGATCCGCTATGTCATCAGAAGCAAACGGCATATTTGCCTTTTGCTCCCCACAGAACGAGCTCGGATAGAGTCTAGACAGTGCTCATGACCTGGCCCAGCAAGTAAATTTGGAATGGGGCCATGATCTCGTTCGTGGGCTCTGGCGGGGAACACAGCAGAGTATTGCGTGTTGTTCAGAGCAGTTGGTCGCGTTGGTGGCTCTGGTGGGAGTGATGGGCTGGTTGCCGCGGTCATCGCCGAAAGCGAGCGTGTTCTTGGTTGAGACTCAAGTCAGAGCCTATATACAACCCGCTGACCTTTTCGCGCTTGTCGTTGCAGCAATCGAGCATGACGGTCGCGTCGCTGCCGGTCGTTCTCGGCAGGAAGTTGGTGTCGCAGGAAGTTGGTGTCGCAAGCCATATTTGTTGGTGCAGACTGTAATGTACTTCGGTAGCCGGCGCGGGGCTGCCGCATGCTTGAAAGTGTAGGCTACTGTGTAGCCCGGAGACGGCAACTTGGATGCGAGGACACGTAGAAGTTGTAAGGGTTGAATTTCCTGCTCAGGCTCTTCTTAAACTCGAGCTGACCTTAATCCAGTTCTTTGCCCAAGCGGATGAGGGCGATGTCGACGATGACCATGCATGCCGCAACTTGAACGCGCTCGAAGGACGCTATCATCTGGGGGGTAAGTCTTGGTGCTTCTTTTGCGTATTAGACAAAAGCTGACCTTAATCCTTGCCTCCAGGCCACATTGTCGTCACCTGGCGCTTGGTGAGTTGTCGTTCAAGTTGTTGGTTCCGGACTTGCTTATCAGCAGAATGCCGTCGGTTGTCGCCTTACATAGATGGGTAGACTGCCGCAGAATGGTGACACGAGTTTTTCGTGGTGAGATTGGGACTTTAAGTTGACCGTAGTTGTCGCATACGAAATCCCGATTTGACCCGTTTCCCATCTCCACAGCCCACTAGCAACAAGAGTGTGGTTGGCGCCGAATGCAAGGTCGAGTAAATGATGGCCGGAAGGACTCTGTTTGGGAGAGTCAACACCGTTGTTGAAGTTGACGCCAGCAGACACGAGTTGATCATGAAGGGACAAGTCACGCTGCGATCAACTCTCGGTCCGATCAACTCTCGGTCCGGCACCCGTCCACGGTATTTCTCTTCCCTCTATGGCGCATGTACAAGCTGGCTGCGAGGATCTTCTGGCCTGCATTTTCCATTCCTAGCATTCGCCTCGTGCTGTTGTGAGCTGCGTTCACTCAGAGGAAATGCCCTGTTGATACCTTTAGAGCGTCGAGAAAGGCCGCGTTGACGAACTTGGTGTCCGCCACGGACAAAACGATAGAGCGACCAGCCGTCATGTCGAATGCGCATCCACGAATAGAGTTTCTTGGAGCAACGCGCAATCTTGCCTTGGCCCCGCTTGTCGAGACCGGAGGCTATGATGTCGTTTTGTTCAGCAACGGTCGTTGTGAACGAAAGCTACCATGATGGAGATGTCGCTCTGTCCGTATAGTGGCACTAGAAAATAGTTAAGTGGTTTTCTACGCCATAAACAGGTAACATTACGCTGCTGGTCGTCGCCAATAAACGCCATCTTCTTGAGAGTTGTCGAGAACAGCGATATCAAGGGAGCATATTGGCCCATTTCAATCTGACAACAAAACTCAGTAAACCACACGTCACCGGGCAGGTCATTCGAATTACCTGGCTCGCTTCATCCACAATGACTGTCTGCACCAGAACCAGCTGTGTAATAACACCGAAGTTGGGATTCGATAGCATACTGAGTGTGCATGGAATGACCTTGGCGCCGAGAAGCTGTCTCTCAACGCCGACAATATTCTTTCTTCTCCAGCTGGTCCATCCTGATTAGGTTCGGGCTCACTTTGTGCCTGCATCTCATGAGAGCGAAAACAATGGGTTTATTGAAAAGACCAACCAGTCATAATGGAAATCTGTCAATAAATTGTTACAATTTGTTAGTTGCATGGCTCAAAACTGAATTCAAAGAAAAGACGCACCTTTCGAAATGATCAGTTTGAAGTCAAGGAAATCTAATGATGCCACGATATTCTTGACCGCGACGTTGCTCTGTGCCACAAGATAGACATTCTGCTTTTGGGAGATGAGCAGCGCATGTATGCTCATGACTGCCGCCGCTATAACTGTTGTTTTCCCGGTTCCCGACAAATAGCAACTTCCTGATCAATCTTGTTCACCCACTGAGTGGCGGCACCGTCAAATGCGAGCGCGTGTTAGTGATGCACCCAAGGAAATGCAAGCCGTTGACCCCGCCAGGATCAAACTACAACGGCGCACTCAGGTTGGCATGACAGTCCCGTCAGCCGCAAACCCTTGAACAATGCCAGTGCACACGCACAAATTTGAAAACTCAATTCTCTCTTGCTCTTCCGGGCCCCGGCACGGCCCGGGCGGCACCCATCGAAGAAGACGACCGTGAGGTTGACTCTGGATTCTGGAAGTATCGTGAGTCGTCTCGTTCTTTGCCAGTCAGCGTTAGCGGACTAACTTTGGACTGACTAGTCTGAGAACCCTGCTCGAAATCACCAGCCCACACGCACCACTAGCGGGGGCCGAGTCTGCACAGATAGTAAGTAAGTAGATGAGCAGCTTGAAACTGTACCGCTGCAGCGATGATTCACCTCGCGCATACCAAAGTGTCAACTTGCTTTTTGCGGCGGAAACATGTATGTGACAGTGTTACACTGTCTTGGAACACTGATTATATAAGGAAGTAGGGACTCCGGCTGACACCGGGCAACCGGGCAACCGGGCGGACAGCGGACCCTGGCAAGATCTGAGCGAGCGGTACGGCCAGCACAACCATCGAGATCTGGCGCCGTTTCCATCCCCCTGCCCCAAGCCATTTACCAGCGCTCTTCACGTCTTCTTCCCTAACGATCAGCTACATATCATCAGCTGTCACGTCACTTGGCGCCAGTGCTAACTTAACTCTCCTTCGCTCGTCTCGAAAGCCGCCCGCCACGAACTCCTCCATGGCGTGTCCCCATTGACCGGTCACAAAACAGCCTCGCGACAAAAAGACAGCGCGACAAGGCACATTCAACCCCCCGCGAGCTTGTTTTCGATATAGATATGACCGATTACGATCCTATCCGAACGTGCTGCTCATCAGCGGAAATATGCAAACGCTGTTGGGCCTTTATTGCCGCTGCCGTACGCATTCTGGACGAGGCCATCCGAGAACAATTTGGCTACGAACACCTGCTATGAGTCTACTCCGGTCGCCGAGGAATACATTTGTGGATCTCAGACCCAGAGGCAATGGTGCTAACCGACGAGCAACGCAAAGCGATCGTCAACTGGCTCTCGGTAGTGCAAAAGGACGAAAGCAAGCGACCGAATATCCGCTTTGGCTCCCGTCCACTGCCTGCCTCTTTGAAGTTGGTAACTCATTGTTCATTTGCCATCAACTTATGTAGTGTCTAGACCTGCACTTGACCACCTTGCCTACGTTTTTGCCGACCTTATTCTGACCGACCAAGATTGCTTCCTTTCAGAAAAGGGCTCTGAAGCGCTTCTGCGGCTAATACCGGACACGCGCATCGTCGAGACTCTGCGGAACGACTGGGCAGGCGAGTCCTCGGGCTCTGCAGCAAAGTGGCAAGCCTTCAAAGCCCAAATCAAGACCTACAAGAAGGATTCGTCAGCACGTGTGCGTTGCCACAATACTAGGAGCGTCCGAAATTCTAAACACCCAACAGGCGCAATTAATTGCTGCGATGGAAGACATCATTCTCCGATACACTTACCCACGGCTCGACGAGAACGTGTCGAAGAAACGAAACCATTTGCTCAAAGCGCCCTTCTGTGTCCATCCAAAGACTGGTCGTACCAATAATCGGTTCATCGACAAGAAGTTCTCTGAAAGTCGAAAGCCGCGCAACCGGAGAGAGCAGCCTAACGACAAGGAGTTGCGCGAGCTCGGGATTGACATTGACTGGTGGGCAGAGCTGCAGAAGGACAACACTTCAAAGAATGTGTTGCGCGATATTTTGCGAGAGCAGCGAATATTGGTTGCGAATGGCGGGAAAGCCCCGACTCCTCCGACCCGGAAGGAGCACAAGCCGAAGAAATATGTTCCGCGTCCAGATTTATGTCGTTATCCACTGCCCCAAGCAAAATATCCCGACCTTCCTCGACTTGCGCAGCGGGTTCACAACGAGGACAAGCCCAAAAAGACCAAGGCCTTCTTCAAAGAAACGGACGACGTCCAAAACCTCGTTGAAGACTGGGTGGACTCGTTCAAAAATTTCCCTCCTGAGGCCCAGGACATTGAATACGTGAGCAAGTTCCTGACGAAAGCGATGGATAGCAAACAGTTCACAGACACGAGCGTTGAGCGGACAATTGCGGTAGTCAAGTGGTGGCTGGAGCTGTTGCGGCGGTGAGTTTTATGTGCGGAGGCTGGATGAACAGGAGGAGGGCGAGGTTGCAGAGGCGTGGTGGAAGGCTTTTCGTGATGTGAAGGAGCAACTGGATATTATTGCACGGAAGAAGTGGGGTGGGCGGTTGGCTATACGATGAGCCGTATTTGCTGTATCTTTATTATTTCTGTATTTACCTGAGCGGACTTCCAATATCGGGTTCATGGCGGAGAAGCGGCGCGTGAATGTGATGTTGACAAGGTGCGAAGTCGGGTTGAAAAATGTTATGAACAAGACCTTGGTCGGCGGCAAGGCGCAGAAGACTTACAAAACTGGCACTCTCGCTTGGGAAGGACGCGTGGAGGCCGTTTGCCTCTTCGTTGAAACAACTCTCTCATCGAGGCGGCTTTCCATCTGCCCTGCATCCCACCTGCGCCTATTTCTTGCTCGTGGCGAGGAGCTGATGCAGCAAGGCCTTTTGACATGTTATATAGTGCTGTCTATGATACGGCCTGACTTCCTTCCACTCCCTTGCTACTGGGTGGGAGAAGAGGGACAAAGGCTGTGTATGGGGCGCAGAGGATGAGTACATGGGTAAAGCCTTTTGTATAATGTATGATACTTATGTGCAATTGCAACAAATTGGAGTGGATTAATATTGTGGTCCGACTGATTGCCTTGATAACCTATCTGTATGCCGGGAAAAAATGTGATAGGCCGGATCACAGATCCGAGTACTACATTTTCTGAAAATTTTCTGTGGCAGAAAATTGGAAATCTTCTGTTCCAGAAAATTTCCAGAAGATTCTCAGAAGATTGATGGAAAATTCCAAATTTTCCGTGACAGAAGATCCTCGGAAAATCTTCAGAAGATCTTCAGAAAATTTCAAATTTTCTGTGCATTTTCTGGGGGGGAAAATACATTAATGTCCGTAGTGTCAGATTCCTCAGATTCACAAAGGTTATACCATGGTGAACTCATCATTATTGGAATAGATAATATTGATAATGGTCCTGTACAAGATCCAGAATAGCTATGAGGTTGATTCAAGTGCTGTACAGGTTTATTTGAAGTTCTATACAATCCTAAGTTCAAGTCTTTCATCATACTTGAAATTAATTTCTGACCAGTTGTAATAGCGAAGACACTCTTTTTTACTCTATAGGTACCTACCCTCTCTTCAGCTACCTTTAGTAGCACAGTCCAGAACCACAACTGATTCTGGTATAGGGTCCTAGTAGACATTCAAATATCTTCATACACCCACCTCAAGGTCCAACACTCAGTTTATAGACCTCACAAATCCTGTAAACCAGTCTTTGCACTTTCCCAGTAGTTGAATGTCTGCCCCAATTCACCATCCAAGAGCATACACTCATGAATCAGAGTATGCGGGTATATGTATATACCTTATTGACTGAACTTGACATATTTTGATCCATAATCAACTAACAGATCATGGCTATATTGCCAATATGATGTATACTAGCAGTCATGTGTATAATGGACATTTACCAGAGATTTCATGAATAAAACAAGATGGGAGGTATTCCATCTCTTAGGGAGACCCACTGTATGCTTATTGCCCTTATTCCATTGGGTACCCCTCACTTCTAAGTGAGTTATTAGGAGATTATAGTAATGAGATATCCACCATATATAAAGGTGAATATGATGCCTAAAATATGGAGGGTTCTCATACCTATGAAAGATATCGAGTAGACCAGAATGCAACTTAGATCAAGCTTATCCATAAATTCCTCATCAAGATATCAAGTGATCATTGTGCTTGATCAAATTCAATAGAGAAAAACTACAGAAAAGTGGTATAACAGTATAGTCTAAAAGTATGAGACCAAACCCATATCAGAACATGTCTACACTAGGTTATTATCTACCTACCAGTATAACAATCATCTGACTTGATACAGTATTGGTGAAGATATTGCTGCATCAAGGTGTGTGATGAATAATCATGAGATGTTCTACATTTATTAATAATATTGTATTGTGAAGGATATTAATATTATCTTGTGAGTACACTTTGTAGTGCTTAAATCATCTCTATAAGTTGTCTACTTAGTGAGATATCACTACATCAGGTGGAGATTAGCAAATGATTAGCCATTACTGAATAATTATGACTATAGGTCACCTAATGAAAGTTGTTTGTATAGTTAAAATGCATAGCTTTGATTTGTGACAATGTGTGACAATCTCTGGTAATCCTGATGTTGAACCGCGGAAATTTCCTTTTTTTGGAACCATGTCACACTTGTCTTGCAACATTTATGTCACATTAATATAGCAGACTGTATGGAGCTGGTAGGTATTGGCCTGCTGCTGGAATTTTACTGAAGATTAGAACTTTATGTAAATCTCCTTTTCAGGTAGTCTATGATTGGATAGAACTGGACTTACCTACTTGGGTAAATGTCTGGAATTTACTGCAGCATATGTAGCAGCGCTGACTTGGAAGTTACTCCATCATATAGCTAGAAATTATTGCAGTTTTCTTGCAGCATAAGTACTCTAGTTGCAGCTTAAGGCTTCTTGTCTTGTAGTAAATATAGCATAGATATTTGCAGCATAGACACTTAGGGTCAGTATCATCTTATGCTGTGAAATTATTGCAGTCATAGAAGATTTATTGTGAGCTTTACTGCAGCATAGGCATTTTCATATGTTCTCTTCTAATTAGAATGAAGACCCCAGTGGGCTCTTCATTCTAATTAGAGTAGATAATTGGGCTTAGCAGGTGAGGTTGAAGGCTTCCGTTTCCGAGAACACATCGGCATAGTCTTGATACTCGGGTGGATGGGACGTCTACCCAAAAGAGGGGGATAAGTCCTATGGAAAATTGAATCCGCAAAATTTTCACCCTATTTTCATGTCTGAACAACTCAACGCCTCTCTCCGTGCTACCTTCCTTGAAGAACCTGTGCTTCGTGCCTCCATCATTCTGGATGTCAAGAAGCTTTACGACGACATCCGCGCTCATATCAATGATGATCCCGCTGCCGTCTCCGGCCTTGCTGCCGCGAAATCTGGCAATTCCTCGCGCTGGAAACTTGATGACACTGGTCTCTTACGCTATGATGATCGAATCTGGGTACCACTCGTCTCCGGTACGTCTCCGGAGTTGCGACTTACTGTACTCTGATACCATCACGACCATATCCTCTCTGGTCACTTTGGCCAAAATCGTACTCTCGCTCTTGTTCGACGCGAATACACTTGGCCAGAACTCAGAACCTTCGTCAAGGACTACTGTGCATCTTGTATTACATGCAAGCGCAACAAGAAGCCAAGGCATCGACCTTATGGTTTGCTAAAGCCTCTCCCCGTTCCTCTCCGTCCTTGGGATTCTATCTCTATGGACTTCATTGAGCAGCTCCCTACATCTGGTGAATTCGATACCATTCTAGTCATTGTTGATCGTGCCTCAAAACAGGTCATTTTGATTCCGTGCCACACTCATATTTCGTCTCCGGAGTTCGCTCGACTTTTCCTCATTCACATCTTCTCGAAACACGGAGTCCCATCCCACGTCACTTCTGACCGCGGAAAGGAATTTGTGTTCTCTTTCTTCCGTTCCCTTGGAGAACTACTCAACATGGAACTCCACTACACTTCGGGTTATCATCCTTCTGCTGATGGGCAAACGGAGCGCATGAACCAAACTGTTGAGCAATATATTCGCATCTATTGTTCTTACCAATAGGATGATTGGCACGAGTTACTGCCGATCACAGAGTTCACACTCAATAATGCTCCTAACGCTTCTACTGGCATATCACCCTTCTTCGCAAAACAAAGGCTACGATCCCTCTATTACGATTCATCCAGAGCGTGATGTGGCTAATGTTTATGCTAAGGACTACGTTGTCGGTCTCCAAGAGCTGCACAAGTTCCTCAAGGAACAGATCAAGTACGCTCAGGAGCAATACAAAGAGACTGCAGACCGGAAACGCATTCCGGATCTGTCTCCGTCTATTGGTGACGAAGTTTTTATCTCGACCAAGTACATCAAGACCAAGTGTCCGACTCCGAAGTTCTCGGAAACACATTTTGGTCCCTTCGAGATCATTGGAAAGCCCAGTGCTGCATCCTATCAAGTCCGTCGCCCGAAATCCCTTTCTCAAGTTCATTCCGTCTTTCACGTTTCCCAAATCGAAATCCACACTGTAAGGGGAGCATGTGATGTGACAGCTGTGACTGATCACGTGACTGGTCCGTGCGCAGATAGCCCTGTACTTAAGTAGTTGGCTGTGGGGCTGTTCCCCCGGCTTTGGTATCAACTAGGCACCTGGACCCTCATCCCCTGACAGCATACCAAAGCCTCTACATCGACTCTGGCACTCTTCTAGCCCCAGTTGATCCTCTCTATCTCCTATATTCGTCCTCACCCTACTGTGCTTGCCTTCTCTCCTCCAATGACGACTCCTGGCGTCCCTGTCGACCTGTATTCGTACTGCCTGCTCCTGCAGAGCGAAATTACTCGCCTCACCGACCGTATCGACCGTCTTGAGTATGGTACGCCTGCTCCACCCCCTGCTCCCCCTCCCCTGGTCCTACATTCCACGGTGTCTGGGACGGCAGTCGCTGGGTTCTTCCAACAATCCCGGCCCCTACCCCCGCCGTCATCGCTGCGGCCCACACTTCCATACCACTTGCCGAAACCTTCCCCCCTACTGCGCCCGACACTGTCACGCGCTTCTCTTGTACGCTTGTGGTGCCTGACTCGGCTGTCGGGCATATCGTGGGTCGTGGCGGCAAGGGTCTCCACCAAGCTCATGACACTTCTGGTGCTCAGTTGCGCGCGTACTCTGATCGCGCTGCGCCTGGCGAGCGCCGGGTCTCTATCCGGGGAACCGACCAGCAAATCGGTGAAGCGCTTATTGCGCTTGGGAAACGGTTCATGCGTAAGCGTGTCCGTGCGAAGAAGCAACGTCAGCCACCGTCTGCTGAGGGACCTGCTCCCCCTCCTCCTGTCGCGCCTGTGCCTGCGTCCCACGCCACT